GGGGGATACACACTCACACGTGAAGGTGAGCATAGCAACACACACAGACACTCCCCAAATGCACGAGCAGCACCTGTGTGCACAGTACAAGCCATCTGCTCCTTGTAGGACTGGCAGATGATGAAGTCAATCTTTCCTGAAATCCCTGAGCGTGTTCTGAAGTCAGAGGCAGGCCACACCCCTACCTGGGCACACGGGCGCCTCCTGGTGTCCTGTGCACTGTGGGGTCCTGTGTGTCCTGGAGAGGGTCCTCGTGTGTGTCCCTGTCTTATGCACCTGGAAGATCACTGTGTGTCCCATGCACTGGGAGAGTCCCCATGTGTGTCCCATGCATGGGGAGGGTCCAGACACACAGAGCCTCAGTCCATTCTCCAAGAGGGATAGGAGGGGGGCTCTAGGTGAAACCACAAAGGTAGTGACTGTCCCTACACTGACCTCTGACCCCTTCCCAAGAGCCCCATCAGAAGCATGTAGGGAGAGGTGCAGGAGCTGGAAGGCAAGCACAGCAATCAAGGGGCCCTGTCCACTGGGGCCACGGGAGATGAGAGAGATGACAAGGGTCAGGAGTGGGGGGTGCTCAGGCTGAACACTCAGCCAGCCTTGAGCCCTTGGTGTGGAAGTTCCCCAGTCCTTTGGCACAGACTTTGATCCCCAAAAGTTGGGGGGTGGGAGCGGGGGAGGACAGCAGGACCTCTCACACCCAAGACTCCCTCACATTTATCTTCACCTTGATGGACAGGGCAAGGGTTGTTACTGGGGGGAAGTGGGCCTGAGCGAGGGGAGTGAATGGGGGATGGGGTACTCAAGTGTGCACAGGGGACCTCCCTTCCTGTGAGTACCTGGGGCAACCTTAGAGTGAGGCCAGGGATTGAGGAGGGCACAAGCAAAGGGCTCCAGAGCTTTGAACCCTGATCTCCATTGTGCTGAGCTCTACCTGCCCTAGGAGGGTACTGGGGTCCCTCACTAGCAGTAGGGGGCCTGGTGAGCCCGAAGTTGCCAGATGCATTGGGGCAGGCAGATGCCGGCTTCGTGCTCCTGTGAGGCAGCAGAACCCAGGTGTTTTTCTGGTCACCATAGACACCCGGCCACCCTCTTGATCTGTCACCACAATACCTGCACCCTCTTAGGGTCTGGGTAGTGTGACAAGGATGCACTGCCAGAGTGTGACCCTGACAATCACCATGCAACCTGGGTGTCCATGCTGCAAGGGCGTCCGCCCCGTGAGGCACCCACGTGTGAGGGTGTCCGTGTGTGAGAATGTCTGCGTGTCACTGGGGTACCAAGCTGACAAGAGGCTGAGCCACAGGGCCCTCCTGTCACCTCCCACCCCAGGCAAGGGCCTGCCAGAAAATCACTTCCAGGTTAAGCCCGCGCACTGGTGGTCAGGGCTGGAGGGCAGTCAGGGTGTCAGGTCAGCTCCACTGCTGCCACCAAAAGCTGCTCCAACCAAAGGCGCATTCGCCATCCCTGACTTCTAGGCCCTCTAGCCAGTGCACAGGACGTGACCCTGGGCAACCTTGGCATGTTACCTAACCATGGGGTGGGGATGGGGGGATGTCTGTATTCATTATTCACTGTTGAGTAACAAATTAGCCTAAAACATAATGGCTTAACACACATTTATCATCTCACTTGTGATTTCAGAGCATCAGGATCTTAGGCTCAGGAATCTGGGAGCAGCTTCACTGGGTGGGGCTGGCTCAGGTCTCTTCGCACCTTCAAGACGGCGACCAGGGATGCCTGCTGTTTGGTCTGAAGGCTCAACTGGGGCTGGAGGAGTCGCTTCCAAACTCACTCTCATTGCTGTCGCAGGAGGCCTCTGGTCCACATGCTGTCAGCCTCCTCGTGGGAGAGGAGAGCTGGCTTCCGCAGAGTGAATGATGTGAGAGAGACAGAAATACACATTGAGAGACACAGAAAGAGAGAGAGATGGGGGATAGAGACAGAGACACAGAGAGAGACAGGGAAAGAGAGATAGACTTAGGAAGAGAGACAGAGACAAAGACAGAGACCGGGAAGAGACACAGAGTAACCTAGAGATATAAACACAGTGACACAGAGACAGGGCAGACAGAGCTATAGGAAGAGAGAGAGAAACAGAAAGACAGAGAGATAGAGAGACAAAGAGAGCTCACGCGGACAGCCTAAACTTGAAGTGACCCCATCACCTCTGTGGGATCCTACTGGCCACTCAGCCAACCATGGTATATTTACAAGGTGCGACAACCACGAGGGCAGAGCACTGGGGACTGTCTGGGTGGCTCTGGACCCAGGCCTGTTTCCTTGTCCATCTCTGGTGTCCGCAAGGATAAGAGCTTCCCCAGAGCTCCAGGGAGCAGAGGGAGGGCAGCCGGGCACAGCCAAGAAGGGTTCTAGCCTTTGCGTCCTCAGTAAAGGGAGATGGTCCTGGAGCCAGGGCCGCCTGGCAGGGCGGTGGTGCCCAGCCAAGTGGTGAATCAGGGGTGAGGCCTCACCTCTCATTCAGGACCCAGGAGTTCCAACCCTGCCCCCAGAGCCTGGAGTTTAAGGGGTTTGGCCCCTGACTTCTGTCTCCATCTGTGTTCTGCTGTTGTTGCTCAGTGCCCAGCCTGGCCCCACAGGCAGGGCAGACTCAGGCACACAAGGCTCAGAACCCACAGATGGAGACCAGCTAACAGCACACAAATTCAGCAAATGTGTAGTGACATCTATCCCAGCCAGACACTCAGCTCCGGATGAATGTGACTCTGACCCAAAAGGAAGAGACCAAGGCATACCAAGCCATACCCCCTGCCTCAGAGGAGGAAGTCTGGATCCCTCCTCCCGCCCCCCACTAATGCCTGGGGAAAGCCATTCATTTATATTTACCAGAAGTGTCTGCAAGACAAAAGCCAAGATAAAAATAGCTGGGGGGAGGGGTGGAGGGAAGGACCCCCAAGCCCACCCACCGGAGCCTCCCTCTGAAGCAGGGAGAGGGGCAGGAAATGGGAAGAGGGGGGAAGGGCAGGAAGAGACCTCTGCTAAAGGGGAGCAGCCCCACCTTTGGGGATAACTCCCTCACCAGGGGGACCCTGAGAAAGCACGGTGGGGTCGGGGGTCAGTCCAGGGCTCAGTTCCAGCTCAGGCAGTGGGATAAAGGAGTCCCTGCTGGACTAGGCAGATGGGCTTGGGGAGAGCATAGTAAAAGATTCAACCCAGAAGAGTTTGTCTGAGGAGCTGAGGAAGGTCAGTGGGCTGAGGGGCCCAAGGGAGTGGTTCTCTCAGAGCCTAAGAGGTCCCTGGAGAGCTGAGCAGGGTCCTCTCTGCAAAGATCCTTTGGGCCACAGTAAGAACACATTACAGCAGACAGGAAGTAATGCAGGAGAGCACAGGAGACCAGGGTCAGAGGGACAGGAAGTAAGGCAGAAGGGGACAGGAGGCCAGGGTCAGGGGGACAGGAAGTGAGGCAGGAGGAGACAAGAGGCCAGGGTAACAGGAAGTGAGGCAGGAGGGGACAGGAGGCCAAGGGTCTCTGGTTGGAGTAGTCTCTGCCCTCTTACTGGAGGAGAAAGAGCATGATGACTACAAGGCGCCATCCATGTCCCAGGTGACTCCCTGCCTGTCTCCCTTGGGCCAGGTGATGTTCCTCCTTTCCCTGTAGGAGGTGCGGGATGTGGCTCTGGGGACCTGACCCCTTCCACATCCAAAAGCCCCAGGCCCTCCCGGAGCAGTGCCCCCCTAACCAGGCTGTGCTTCCAGCTTCCCCAGGTGAGTGTCTTACTCTGAACCCCCATCAACACCTTCCCCTCACTGTGCTGCCTGGTGACCCAGTTGGGGGGTGTGTGGGGCACATGGGGATGGGTGCTGTTTTGAGGCTCCCCTAGAGCCAGGACTGCTAAGTGGACTGAGAATGTGACCACTGGCCAACGTGGCAGAGGCCACTGCTACTACCCAGGGAGACGGACCCAGTCCTAGCAAGTGAGGCAAGGCAGCGACAGAGCAGGGGCAATGACCTGTGGGGACTTGTGGTTCTTGCCAGTGTTCACAGCACTGTCCAGGAGGGCACAGATGTGGAAGCCGTGGGGATAAGGGATAGGAGGGGACCAGCCTCTTCCCCAGTCGCTCACCCTCCTCTTCCCCAAAGGCCAGGCCAGGTGCTCGTGCTCACTCGGGATGAGACCCTCTTCAGAGCCTCAGCTGGTGTGTCGGGGACATCACCTCGCCACACCTGGAGCATAGGCCCCAGCAGCAGTTTGAGGGGTCTGCTGTGACAAGATGATGACTCCAGGGGTCGTTCAGGGCTGCGGTCCCAGGCTGTCAGATAGCGGCCAGCACTCCCGGCCTGGATGCCCTCCCTGCCGGCCCCCCTTCCCTGAGCAGGCACTGTCCAGGCTCCGGTTCCTTCGGGACGGGCCAGGAGGCTTTGTATTGAGCCATGAGAATAAACAGGAGGTAGACGGCGAGAACTGAGGAGTCGGGGCGGCAAGCAGTTCCCCCATCCCAGCGCAAGGTCATGGCCTTGCACACTACGGTGTAAACGTGCACGTGTCCCCACCTGCCAGGATCCCTGGAGTAGGGGAGGGTCTTTAAAAGCAACTCGCCCAGTCATGCTGCACGGCCTCACTAGACACATTGTGGAAAACTTCGGCGCTGTCACCTTCCTCCTGGGCCTCCCAGGGGACCCCTCATAACCTCACCCAAAAGCTAGTCGGTGGCTCCAGTCAGACCCAAACAACCCCAACGCGTGGGCCGACCACACTCAGGAGACCACACTCAGGACGCAGGCGCAGGCTGGCGCGGGAGGCGGGGCCTCCCGCAATCTCGCCCCCCCCCCCCGAAGCCCGCCTCAGAGAGACTCCGGGACCCCACACGTGGCGTTCTCGCCCCGCTCCCCCTTCCCGGCCCTCGAGGGAGGCTCTGGCGGGAAGGAGGCGGCGGTGGGAATTCGCGGGACACCGTGCTACCAAACTTCACTCTCCAGTCCACAACCGCCCTCCACTAAGTCATTTTCCGCTTAAAAGAAAAAACACACCACCAGTCTGGACGCAGCCTCTAGTAATAAATATTTTCTGGGTATCTCTCGGCAAAGGGCCTTGGCCCTAGGACGGGGGCGGGGGACCCTGAAGTCCGAGGGCCGCGGTGTCATCGCAGCCACGGCCTCCAGGGCGCCGCCTGGCCCTGCGGTCCCGGGCGGGGTACGGCAGGCGGCGCCCCCGTCAGGCCTGGCACCGCCGTAGGCCCCGACCCGGAGAAGGCCGGCAGGAGTGCGAAGACAGCCCCGGGGCGCAGCAGAGGGAGGGGGCCGTCGAATGCGGGCAGCAGCGGGCAGCCCGTGAAGACCTCGGACGCGGGGGCCTCGGCGGCGGGGGTCGGCGGGGCCGGGCGGCGCGAGGACGCCAGCTGGCCTAGGCAGGACGCCAGGTGGCCGAGCAGGCGGGATCGCACGTCGACGGGGACGCCCTCGCAGCTGGCCAGGAAGCGGCTCACTTCGGCCAGACACTCGTTGAAGCCTGCGCGGTACTTGCCCAGGACGGCGGGGTCGGCGCTGAGTGCGGCTGTGGGGGAATAGGCGGTCGGCCTATAGGGTCGCTATGAGTCGTAATAGACTCGACCGCAGTGGGTGGGCCCGCGGCAGCTGTCCCGCGCGCCCCACCCCACGCCCCCGCCCGCGCCTCACCTGTCACCTGCACGCGCCGCAGGCCCTGCAGGTGCCTCACCGTCATCTCTAGGATGTCTGCCTTCTCCAGCTTCGAGTGGCGGGAGCTCTGGGGGCAGGTACGGTGGGCGCTGTAGCCAGCCGTGCCCCAGACGCGTGGACCCGCGCCTGGACCCCGCGCCCCCGCCCCCGGCTTACGTCTTTCCTGAGGGCGTCCAGGATAAGGGTCTTGAGCTGCGCGAGGCTCTCGTTGATGCGCGCTCGGCGCCGCTTCTCCATGACCGGCTTGGAGGACTGAAGGGCGGGCAAAGGCTGAGTCCCGCATCCGACCACCCCCGTCCCACCCCACCCGGCCGGGCCCTCACCTTGCGGTGCTCTGCCGCGCTCCGGGGTTTGTCCGGGGTCCGGCGGGCGCTGGCTGGCGCTCCTGCCCGCGGTGAGGCACTCGGCTTCCCCGGGGGCTCTGCAGGCATGGTGGCCCCGCGCCTCCCGTGCCGGGCGCGA